AATCGAAGAAATTGAATTTCGTCGATTACAGCGCCATCTATCATGAATCGAGAAAAATGTTTCAGACAAATTGTATGTGTTTTTAGCCAAAGATTCCGAATATGCAATAAAAAATAGGGGTTCCCATTTAAGATTTCAAACTTGCCCCCCCTCACCGCCCAGGGGGAGGGGTGGGGGGGCTAATTTTAACGTCATTGTACGTCCCCCTCGAAATGACGAAATTTTGATTCTAAACATTTTTTCGTAGTGTGCTTATTTTTCGAGTTATTTGGCTGCCTAAGTTAAAATGGGTCACCTTGTATAATCCAGATGTTTATATAACAGGTGACAAGACAGAATTATATATGATAAACGAATCGAACGAAGAACGTTAATTCGTACGGTGACTACGGAAAGTGTTACATCCTCCAGTGGGAATTATGTTGGTAAAATTCCTAATCGTTCTGCTTTGCCTTGGTCTAACCGTTTACGTGGGTTCTGACAAGGCTGCTCCGAGAATCAAAATTCCCTTGGGAGGACTGAGGGGTTATTACAAAACATCGCAGAATGGTAGGCAGTATGAGGCGTACGAAGGGATTCCTTACGCGTTACCACCTGTTGGTGAACTGAGATTTAAGGTAGGCAAATCATCAAAATAATAGCTGTGTGTATCTTTGAAATTACGTAACATTATAGAGAATTGACTATTTTTTATTGCTTAGTCTTCGTTTTTTCTTCAAATTGGACAGAGAAAGAGAGACACATGATTTAACTGTTAAGTATCTTATTTCTTTAAGAAATTGGAACAATCGGTCCTTAAAGAGAGTTTATCATTTTTTTTTAAATGTAGAATATTCACAAGGAATTTCGAATTTGGAGTATTTCCAAACTGTCTCTTCTCTTACAGCCTCCCCATCGCATAACACCATGGGTTGGCGAACTACCAGCTATAAAGTTCGGTTCCCCATGTATTCAACGCACCCAGATACCACTCGATCCCAAGGAAAGAGTCGAAGGTGCCGAAGATTGCCTGTATTTAAATGTTTATGTGCCGGTACGCGAAAAAACTGAATCTAAAACCCTATTACCGGTACTCTTCTGGATCCATGGTGGCGCCTTTCAATTTGGAACCGGTATAGTGATGGGTGGAAAATATCTTATGGATCACGACGTGATACTTGTCACAATTAACTACCGCTTGGGACCATTGGGTATGTAATGCTACGATATTTATCAGTCGATGACGAGAAACAAATATTGCCAATACGATTCTAATGAGTTTGTTACAAAAATCGATATTGGAACAACTAGATGAATATTATTCAGCGCAGAATATTTCACAATGAACAATAAATTGTGAAATCGACAATTTATTCGACTCTTTTGTTACCGACGTTATTAAAGTTATCTTGAAAAAATATCAGGTTTCCTCAGCACGGAGGATGAAGTAGTTCCCGGTAACATGGGTTTAAAGGATCAAAGTATGGCACTGCGTTGGGTATCGGAGAACATCGAGTGGTTCGGCGGTGACTCGAAACGAATAACATTGTGTGGCATGAGTGCCGGTGGTGCAAGTGTGCATTATCATTACTTATCACGTATGAGCACCGGACTTTTCCAAGGTAACGTTCTAGAAGATAATGCAGCATACGCAAACATGATAACTAACATAAATATAACAAATATTAAAGTATTAATATAACTCTACTGCAGAAAATTATTCTCTCTAATATAACTCTACTGCACTAAATTATTCGTTTACGAAAATTGAAAGGCGTCACCATGGATCCAGAAGAGTACCGGTAATAGGGTCTTAGATTCGGGTTTTCGCGTACCGGCACATAAACATTTAAATACAGGCAATCTTCGGCACCTTCGACTCTTTCCTTGGGATCGAGTGGTATCTGAGTGCGTTGAATACATGGGGAACCGAACTTTATAGCTGGTAGTTCGCTAAACCATGGTGTTATGCGGTGGGGAGGCTGTAAGAGAAGAGACAGTTTGGAAATATTCCAAATTCGAAATTCCCTATGAATATTTTACATGTAAAATATTATAAATATTTATGTGCAGGAGGAATATCGGTTAGTGGTAATGCGTTCAACTGTTGGACACAAGCTGAGAATTCCCTAGAGAAAGCCAAAAAATTGGGTGCGTTGATGGGATGCTCAACAACGAACATGAAAGATATGGTAGATTGCTTGAGATATCGGCCGGCTCGCGCGATCGTAGAAGCCGCCGGTGAATTTATGGTGCGTTTTTCTCTCGCTTCTCATTTTAGTCATCTTGTGATGAAAACGATATAATTTCTCTGACACGCATGAAGAGGCAAGGTTTTGGCACGATCTATCATTTTAGACGTTCTTTTACAATCCTTTCACTCCTTTCGGACCGGTGGTCGAAAAAGTCGGCGATATTCGTTTCCTCGAGAGGAAACCCGTCGAAATTGTGAGCAGTGGAGACGTACAAGACGTACCTTGGATTACAAGTATAGTGAGCGAAGAAGGACTTTATCCTGTGGCCGGTAAGACAGCATGCACGATCGAGAGAAAAGGAGATATCGTACATTACAGCATACATGTAAAGATAATTTTAACTATATTGATGTATCATTGCAGAGTTCGTTTATAACGATTCTTATCTGAAACAATTGAACGATAATTGGGATGCTATCGGCCCAGAATTCCTTGATTTTAATCACACCATTCCCAGAGAGAAGCTTGTGGAAACTGTTCGTCGTATCAAGAAACATTATTTTGGGACTAAACCAATAGATAGGGCAAATACAGAACCACTGATAAAAATGGCCGGCGATCGCTTTTTCGTAATCAACAGTGAAATGGCCGCGCGTATGCAAGCTAAAGTAAATCAGAATCCGGTCTGGTATTACTATTTCTCGTACAGAAGTGTAGACAGCTGGGGCGACGCCATTGCTGGCAAGAGGATAGATGATTACGGTATGTTCTTGAATAATCTCATAGATACTTAAAGAAAACGTGAGACTCAATATTTCACATTTTATCTTTACACGCAGGAGTCGCTCATGGCGACGATGTGTTCCTCGTATTAGACACTCCCTGGATGGATCCAACAGTAAAGAAAGAAGATATGGATATGCAACGAATTTTGGTCGATATTTGGGTATCATTCGCTAAAAACGGGTAAAAGCATAAAAGACTATAACTGCGTGTAATGAAAGAGAGATAAATACAGTAAGAATATTAATCCTTTAAAATTCGAAATTTATTTCAGAGTTCCGAAAGTCGCTGGTGTTGAATGGCCAAGATTAGACCCTACTAAGAAGGAGCTCCATTATCTGCACATTGCTAGCCCTACTAAAATTAACATGGACAGTTGCGCTAATCTGGGAGAGAAAAAGTTCTGGAAATCGATCAATTTCAATGAGAATAAATTGGAGCATACATCCAATAAAGAAGAACTTTAAATTCTTTTTGAACTAATGTATGAAAACCGTATTTTTTTTTTTATAAATTGTATCTTTAATAAAATGTATTGATCGTCTAACTATATGCGTAAATTCACTGTTATTCTTTCTCAAGACAAATTATTAGGTGTACAACTTTGCTTCCGCCGTTTTCCTATAGATGGCTTTAGCGGTAAGTGGTGGTCGAAATAAATAGATCATAGACGTCATACAATAAACTTGGGCATCTGTCAACATAACCCCATAGAAACATTAGTCGATTTGTGTCTGCATCATAAAGTTATTCTCGATTGAAAATGTCAGTTTACGAGCCAAATTCTCGTCATTTGCGGGAGGTTTTAATTTTCTGCTTCAATATGAAGAAATCTGCGACTGAGGCTCATCGAATGCTCTCAAATACTTATGGTGAGGTCGCTATTAGTGAAAGAACGTGTCGTGAGTGTTTTCAACGCTTCAAGAACGGTGATTTTGACGTTGAAGACCGGCATAACGGTGGAAGAGAGAAGGTTTTCGAAGATGCAGAATTGGAGGCATTACTTGATCAAGACTCGTGTCAAAATCAAGAAGAATTGGCACGATCATTGGGAGTGACTCAACAAGCCATTTCAAAACGCCTCAAAGCCATGGGAATGATTCAGAAGCAAGGAAATTGGATGCCGTACGAATTGAAGCCGAGAGATGTTGAACGGCGTTTGTTTGCTTGTGAACAGCTGCTTGAAACGCAAAGACGGAAGAGATTTCTACATCGCATTGTAACTGGGGACGAAAAATGGGTTCATTACGATAACTTACGATTACCCAAGCGCAGAAAATCATGGGGAGTTCTCGGCTATGCTTCCACGTCGATAGCCAAACCGAATATTCACGGCTCCAAGTCATGCTCCAGGTCATGCTCTGTATTTGGTGGGACCAGCTCGGCGTAGTATATTATGAGCTGTTAAAACCGACTGAAACAATCACAGGCGATCGGTATCGAACGCAATTGATGCGTTTGAGTCGAGCATTGAAAGACAAACGGTCGCAATACAACGAGAGACACGATGAAGTGATTTTGCAACATAACAATGCTCGACCCCATGTTGCGAAAGTGGTCCAGACATATTTGGAAACGTTGAAATGGGAAGTCCTACCCCACCCACCGTATTCTCCAGACGTTGCTTCCTCTGACTATCACTTGTTTCGATCAATGGCACACGGCCTGGCTGACCAGCACTTCCGGTCTTATGAAGAAGTAAAAAATTGGATCGATTCGTGGATCGCTTCAAAAGATGACCAGTTTTTTCGACGCGGGATTCGTACGCTGCCCGAAAGATGGGAGAAAGTAGTGGCCAGCGATGGACAATACTTTGAATCATAAATGTATAACCAGTTTTTTACAATAAAGCCTCGAATTTCGGAAAAAAAACGGCGGAAGCAAAGTTGTACACCTAATACTTTTTTACTTTCATGTTATATGGATAATATGGATAATAAATATATGAATAATAAATTGTTAATAATATAACGATGTTATATGAGTAAATTTAGTGGATATTAAACTTTGATTTCGAGCACAAATTATAAGAAATATAAGAACTTGCCGCGTCGTTTACAATATCATGTCGCGATTATCAAGCCCAGCAATTTATAGAATTAATCAGAGACAATATTATAAAATCATCATCTTGGCACGTGAGAACAAGGCCCGTACTCTGAGTTCTCTTTTAACGATAAATGAGTCTCTAAAAGTGACTCGTAGTCAATCAGAAACCAATTTTAAAACCAATTATAAACCAATTATAAACCAGTTTTAGAAGCTCATTTATCGTTAAGAGAGAACTCAGAATACGGGCCCAAGATTTTGTAACAACACATCGTCTATATGGTTTAGAGGTTAGAGGAAACGAAAAAAGTTAGGAATGAATTTTGATAACCCTCAGTTCTTAAAAACAAACAAAAAAATATTATTTAATATGAGTTCAATAGTTACAAGTTATTACTTGCATTAAGGAGCTTTGTAAAATAAATGTTATTTTTAATTCAATACTAGAATTTATTACAATATTTTATTATTTACCCCAATTTACATATTTATTTAAAATCACATGATTTTATGAACGATATAATTAAACTACCGGGTAGACTACTAAAGCAGTCTGAGAGGATGAAAAACATCAAATATTTACTTCATACGAAGTTATATCTTTGGCATTGGGTACATTTGTAGATATTAAAATGTTATATATATGTACAGCGGTCATCAAATCGCATTGTTGTCACGTGTTCTCCAGACATGTGTATGATTCGAGATCGGTGATTGGCTATGTATCACGTTGTCACGTCATTTATCTAATCTACAGCATATATACGACGAAAGATAACAACAATGATACAACTATTCAACATTTAAATGTTCGACGTCAAGGAAGAGACACAGTGCACTGCAAGTTGCGCCAAAGGCATTGCATTAACCGGGAACCATGTCGATAAAATCGCTAACCGTTATACTAATTTGTTTGATTTCGGCGATTCACGCGAATGCGAGTCCAAGAGTTAAAACAACCGTTGGAAAACTAAAAGGCTACTACAAAACATCATATAATGGCAGACAATACGAAGCTTACGAAGGAATACCTTACGCTTATCCACCAGTTGGAAAACTAAGATTTCAGGTACGCGGCTGATAAAAATAATAATTATTCTAAATGAATCTTAAAAGTATTTATCAAAATAATGCTATATGCGATAAATATAATTTTTGTTATGGATAACAGATACGCTAATACGCCGAAATTTTATAAAAAATTTGAAGTATTACGTTACGAAATATTACGTTTATATAATCCGTTATATAATCCGTTTATAAAATCTACGTTAACATGCGTTAACATAGATTTTTCTCTGTCCCGGATTTATTCAGTGGCTAACCAGGACACCGATTTGTACCGAATTCGGCCAAAGTGCCCCGATTTATCCCGATTTAGAGAAACTTTTAAATGAAATATTGTTTTACATGTGTGTTTATGTAACTGAGAAAAAGTTTACTAAATTTCAAAAAACGTTTATTTGGATATAACTTTGAACATATTTGTTTAAATTAAGTAATGAATTTCTAAAATCAAAGAAAAAAATTTATATTTAAAACTTCTTTATTTAATTTTAGAAAATAATTACTTAATTTAAACAAATATGTTCACAGTTGTGTCCAAACAAACATTTTTTGAAATTTAGTAAATTTTTTTCTCAGTGTATATTGTGTATGTGTATACTTTAGTTAAATATAACTTGTCATTCACAATTAAATTGAAAATTTTCTAATCAAGTGTAACATCATGAATACGTTTTTTTGCTTGCAGCCTCCTCGCGCATTGCCAATATGGATTGGCGAACTATCCGCTACGAGTTTAGGACCTGAGTGTCTTCAATACAGCTCAGTTAGCAAAAACGGATATATCATAGGATCCGAAGACTGTCTATATCTAAATATTTATGTACCCGTGCGAGAAAAAACGACACCTAAAACACCTCTGCCAGTACTCTTCTGGATACACGGTGGTGCTTTTCAATTTGGCAGTGGCAGTGATACAGGTCCAGAGTATCTTATGGATCACGACCTCGTATTTGTCACGATTAACTATCGCTTGGGACCATTGGGTATGTAACGTCATAACTATGAGAAATATTACTCTCAATTCTATCCCGATAACCTTATTCCAGAAATCCATACCCAGTGAACACAACGTTACACGTAACGTACATATTAGTTATAATTTCCTACTCAACAGTGTAACTGTTGTACAAAGTGTCCCGCATTATCTCTTAAGAGCGGATTCCTGAAGTAATTTGAATAAGAAAAGATGACGAATACAAAGATGACGAGGCTATAATGTTTTTCAAATTATAAACGATCAAAGTTGACCAATTATACTGGCTAAAGTACGCGCACTCAGGTACGGTACAACACAGTGGTACAGGTGCATGCACATGTCGTCCATTTATTTCTCCAAATATTGATACGGAAGTTCTATACATACAACAATATATGTAATAATAATCTGCCTTTTCTATCATTTAAATAAACACTACAAATAATAACAATTTCGTCAAAATATTATGAATAAAATATTACACAATATATTTATGAGAATCAGTAAGCTGTCACACATTTGACGTTTCTTTCAGGGATTTACAACTAATTTCATATCTTATGCAAATTCTCACTTATGTGCATGCATTTGTACCATTGTGTGTTGTACCGTACTTGAGTGCGCGTACTTTAGCCAGTATAATTGGTCAACTTTAATCGTTTATAATTTGAAAAGTATTATAACCTCGATATTTTTTCACTAGGATTTTTTTCTTCAAATTATCTCAGGAATCCGTCCTTAAGAGATAATGCGGTAGTGGCCGGACATCCTGTATAAGATACGTTATATAACAGTTACATTGTTCAGCAGGAAGTTACAATTAACTTGTACGTTACACGTTGTATTCACTGGGTAATGAGACAATTAGAAGAATAACGTTTAGCATACGTAGAATTTTATTCACAAATGTTACATTTTAAACGTTTAGCACACGTAGAATTTTATTCACGAATGTTATATTTTTATCAGTTTGCTCGCCCTTTGTTATCGAAGCTATTAAAAATTTTTGAAAAAAATATTAGGTTTCCTTAGCACGGAGGATGAAATAGTTCCCGGCAACATGGGTTTAAAGGATCAAAGTATGGCACTGCGTTGGGTATCGGAGAACATTGAGTGGTTCGGTGGTGATCCGCAAAAAGTAACTCTAGTCGGTATGAGTGCTGGTGGGGCAAGTGTGCATTATCATTATTTGTCGCCGATGAGTGCGGGACTCTTTCAAGGTAATATTTTATAAGATAACAATGCAATGTACAAATAAGATTAATATATTATCTCGTTTACGCAAATTTACATTATAGGAGGTATATCAATCAGTGGCACGGCACTTGATTGTTGGGCGCAAACTGAAAACTCTCTGAACAAGGCTAAACAATTGAGCGAGATGGCGGGGTGTCCTACGAGTAGCTCTAGAGATATGATACGATGTCTAAGATATCGTCCTGCTCGCGTAGTATTAGAAGATCTGCCTCAATTTATGGTGAGTCTAGTTTTGTCACTGTAATGTCCAGTGACGAAAAAAGTCGATGTAACGCAGAAGAAGTCTCTCATGTCCGTTTCTACTTCGTTTAAACCTTGATCTTTAATCTAAGTTTAAATCTTTATCTGAATGAAGTTTAAACTTAGATTAAGATTTAATCAATTATATCCAATCGGTTTAATCGATGTAAAAGCAAGCATCACTAGACCTATTATTATTTTAGCCGTTCCACAACAACCCTTTTACTCCCTTCGGGCCAGTAACCGAGAAAGCTGGCGACACACGTTTCATCGACAGGACACCTGTTGAAATTATAAGCAGTGGAAGCGTACAAGATGTACCTTGGATTACAAGCGTAGTGAGCGAAGAGGGTCTTTTTCCTATAGCACGTAATATTGATCCCAATATTAAAAATTCTTTCTTGCACATAAATATTTAGATATAGACAGTCTTCGGATCCTATGACAGATACTTTTTTTCTCAATTGAGTTATATTGAAGACACGCGAATCCCAAATTCGTAGCTGACAGTTCGCCAATCTATATTGACAATGCGTGGCTGCAATATCAAAAATCATTTTTTATAAATGATTATAAACAAGCCCTTGTTAGTGTTAATTTATTATTGCAGTGTTTTCCGACGAGGCTGATGATATGAAAGATCTAGACGACAACTGGGACATTCTTAGCCCGTTTTTATTTGATTTTAATTACACTGTCGCCAAGGAGAAGCATGCCGAGGTCTCCAATCTCATCCGGGAACATTATATCGGAACGGGAACAATAGACAAAACAAACCTAAAACCATTGATAGCAATAGCGAGTGATCGCTTCTTTAAGTATGACAGTGAGAAGGCCGCGAGAATGCAAGCTGAAGTAAATCAGAAGCCGGTCTGGTATTACTATTATTCATACAGAGGCACGCATAGCTTGATGGATGTGTTAAGCAAACTTAAAGACAATTACGGTACGTTTCATGAAATACCAGTGTCAATTAATATCGGATGGGGGGG